TCCTATATAATAAAGGGCTTAATATGCAAATTGTCCCCTCGACCAGGACAGGCCAACTACCCGTGTCCCCTCCCCCTGGCTAGGCTGGCTGGACCCCACCCATGCACGAATTCATGCACCAGGCCTCTAAAAAAAAACACCACTATATATATATATATATATATATATATATATATATATATATATATACACATATACACACACACACACACACACACACACACACACACATATATATATATATATATATATATATATATACACACACACACACACACACCCTGTTTCCCCAAAAATAAGACAGTGTCTTATATTAATTTTTTTCTCCCAAAGTTGCGCTAGGTCTTATTTTCAGGGGATGTCTTATCTTTCCATGGGCTAGGTCTTATTTTCGGAGGATGTCTTATTTTCGGGAAACGTGGTATACACACACACACACACACACACACACACACACACACATTGAGTGACCAGATTATTATGTGTTTAGAGATCATCATAATCTGGCCACTCAGTGTATATTAAAGGGATAGAACAGAGACCCCCACCTCTCTTTGTGAGAATTGCTAAAGGATGGGTGATCGTGTTTTTAAACCATTACAGGTTGGGAAGCTCCGTCATACAGGGTCACATGTTGGTTTGGCGAGGGAAGGCACAGGGGGCTTTGCTATTAGTATCCTGTCGCTCTCATCTCTGGTTTCAATGTAACAGGACCCATAGTTGCCATATGCCAGCCAGGGACAGGGAGAGCGCAGGCCAAGCGGTCCCTTATAAAAATGTAATTCAGAACCACCACACGTCACTTCTGCTCACATTCCACTGGCTACCTCTAGTCATACTGCGACCTCTAGCTGCAAGAAAGGCCGAGAAATGTAGTCTGCAGGCCACATGCCTAGCTGTAAGTCTGTGGGGTCCTGTTGCTAAAACGAAGCCAATGAGAATAAATATTAGGGAGAATTAGTTTTCACAAGTGCTTTTCATATATATATATATATATACACACACACACACACACACACACACACGCGCGTGTGTGTATAGAAATGGGTCTATATAAAATATAGAAATATATAGATTCATAGAACAGTCTGGAGGAATACATAGGAAAAGGTCTAGAACAATGGTCGGCAAACTCATTAGTCAACAGAGCCAAATATCAACAGGACAACGGCTGAAATTTCTTTTGAGAGCCAAACGTTTTAAACGTAAACTATACAGGTAGGTACATTGTTATTAACTTAATTAGGGTACTCCCAAGCTGGCCTTTGCTGAAAACTCAAGGGGCCAAAGAGCCTCAGGTGGCTCTCGAGCCTCAGTTTGCCGACCACGGGTCTAGACAGAACTGGCAACTGTGGTTACTCCTGGGGATGGGGGAGAAGGACAGGGATGTGTTCAAAGCTGACTCCAGCCACAACGGTGGTGCTTTAATGTTTCATAAGGGCAATGTTTTCACATTTTACTTTGAAATTAAATATTAATTCAAGCTGAAGAGGGCCTGGTAAGCATCTGGCTGCTGATGTTGTAGTCTTGGTCTTATCTCCCGGTCGTGGCACCCAACCCCAAAGAGTGCCAAGGGGGTCACATGCTCTTATCTTCCAGGAACCGCAGTCGGTATTGGCCGGACACTCAGTCCCATGGCCCCACCTTCTTGAGGACTATAGTCAGGGGGGTCTCTGCCCCTGGCCTCCCCATGGAGACCCCCTGACTGGACCACAGTAGATGTTGGTTGTAAGTGGATGGCTGTTTTGGGACTGAAGAATTCAAAAGTGATTAAAATACAGCCTGTCTCTCTACAGGTGGCTTATTATTAACTACAGATAGAAAGCTGGTCGCTGTGCAAGGGGGCAGGCAGGCGGCCCCGCCCCCCGCTCAGCAGTTAACATTAGCCTCACGGACACTGTGTCCCTCCGGATGGGAGACACGGAGGACATGGTGTCACTTGAGTGACATTCTGGCTCCAACAGCTTCACCCAGATCCAATCGTGAAGAGATGACAGACCCACCCAGACGGAGGGACATTCCCCCAAACGAGACTCAGTTCCTTAAAAAATGTGGATGTCACGAAAGACAGAGTCTAAAGGAGGCTAGCGATGGAAGCAGTAGTACAGGGCAGGAGACCGAGTAGGGTCTGGGATCTGGGGGGAGATTGCCTTCAGTGGACAGCTAGCAAGATGGGAGGTCACGGTATGGTGTGGTATCAAGGTCGCATTGTCTGTATTTGATCATTGTACTGAGGATGTAAGAGAATGTCGTCATTCTTAGGAAATGCACAATGGAGTGAGGAGCAAAGAAGCGTGTTGTCTGTCTGTAGCTAACTCCCAAATGGTTAGAAAAGGAGGAGGCATCCCTCTCTCTTCCTCTCTAAAAAGTCAATAAAATATATTTAAAAATAATAAATAAATAGTTAAATAGAGGTAGGATTTTCCTCTCTGAGGGGCCAGCAAGGAGCAACTTATGATACTGTTTGAATCTGTCTTAGATGAACGGTTTAGCTCAGTGGATAGAGCGTCCGACTGCAGACTGAGGAGTCCCAGGTTCGATTCCAGTCAAGGGCATGTACTTCGGTTGCCTTACATCCCTGGTGGGGTGTGTGCAGGAGGCAGCTGATCGCTGTTTCTCTCTCATAGGTGTTTCTAACTATCCTTCTCCCTTCCTCTCTGTAAAAAATCAATAAAATATATTTTTTTGAAAAGAAAAGAGAGGGAGGAGGCAAACTTTTTTGGCACAAAAGCCAAGTAGTGAGGACTCTAGGCTCTGCAGGCCATATGGTCTCTGTCTTAACTACTCACTCTGCTGTTGTAGTTTCCAGACGATATGCAAATGAACGAGCGTGGCTGGGCTCCATTCTGGCTACTGAAATTTCAAATTTCGTATACTTTCACGTCACCAAATACTCTGCAGATTTGTGTCAACCAAGAAAAAACCATTTTAGCTTACTGCCTGTACAAAAATCTGGATTTGGCTGGATTTGGTCTGTGGCCTATAAATTCCTGATGCCTGATATTGAAAAAGAACACACACACACACACACACACACACACACACACACACAGCGAGGGTGGTGGTGGTGCGTAAAGCAACTATGGAAATATGGTGTAATGCTAACAGTTGGTGAATCTGGGTGAAGGGTAGAAGGGAGTTCTTTCTACGCTTCTGAGAATTCTTCTGCAAGTTTGAAATTATTTAAAAATAAAAAGTTAGCAGAAACCGGTTTGGCTCAGTGGATAGGGCGTTGGCCTGCGGACTGAAAGGTCCTGGGTTCGATTCCGGTCAAGGGCTATCTACCTTGGTTGCGGGCACATCCCCAGTAGAGGGTGTGCAAGACGCAGCTGATTGATAATTTTCTCTCTCATTGATGTTTCTAACTCTCTATCCCTCTCTCTTCCTCTCTAAAAAGTCAATAAAATATATTTAAAAATAATAAGTAAATAGTTAAATAGAGGTAGGATTTTCCTCTCTGAGGGGCCAGCAAGGAGCAACTTATGATACTGTTTGAATCTGAGGGACTGAGCCCTCTTGTCTGGGAGCCAGATCGTGCTTATGTGGCCCCTAATTGCTATCTTCTCACTTCATTTTCTTCACTTCTCCCTTATCTCCTGGCTTACCCTGCGAATTTAGGGACCTTCTTGGCAGGCAGGAGAATTAGGCTCCGGCCCCCCTGTCCGACCATCTCCTTTTTCTCTCCCTCTAATAAATACACTTCTCCTCCAGCCACTTTAGATGTGTTCATTGGATTATTGCATTTAATGTTATAGTTCCCGCCCCTCACATGGGTTTCTCCAAATTGTACTATTTGTCTTAGATGATCAGATTAGAGGCGAGGGCTTGCTTCCCGGCATATGGCGTTATCTGGGGGAGGTGCCTGGTGGCCGCGATGCCGAGAAGTTACTGTGTCCCTTTCTCCCGGCTTTGGGGCAAAGTCTCTGGTATTCCTAGCGGCCTTGTGGCCCTGACTAGCCATTTCTAATTGGAGGGACTGTGCCTGGGGTGGGCAGGGTTGGCTCTAAGGGAAGGGGTATGACCTTTCCTTAGTTGATGTGGTAAGAACTCTCTTCATGGCCAGAATCAGAAACCCAACTCCCACCGGCCTCACTGAAAAGGGATTTATAAATTCATGTAACCGAGAGCATGGAACAGCGTCACCCTCAGACGTGGTTAGACCCAAGGGCTGGAATGAGGCTGCGAGAATTCTGTCTCTTACTGAGTCTCAGGTCTGTTTTCCTGTTTGGCTTTATTCTTAGGCAGCCTCTCCCCACTAGCAACTCCGTGTGTACCTGCTACCAGATTAGCAAACCCAGGACAAAGAGGGCATCTCTACACCAGTACTCCCAGCAGGGTCCCAGGGCTGACTCTCATTGGCCCATTTAAGCCTGGTGTCCATGTTCTGAACCAATCAGTTGAACCAAGGGGTTGGAAGATACTGATTGGTCAGGCCTGGATCACATGACTACTCTTGGAATGAGGACAGTCAGCACTACTGGAACCATCTGGACTAAGAATTGACAAGACGTGGCCCTTCCAAGTCAGACCTAGTTGCTATTGCCATTAGGAAGGAAGGGACCTGGGCAAGAAAGAAAAAACACACAACAGTAATTCCTTAATACGCAGGGCTGTGCTGTGCAGCCTTCCCCAATCCTAGTCTTCTAAGCCACAATTTAAAATAAATATAATTTATTGATTTTTTACAGAGAGGAAGGGAGAGGGGTAGAGAGTTAGAAACATGGATCAGCTGCCTCCTGCACACTCCCCACTGTGGATGTGCCCGCAACCAAGGCACATGCCCTTGACTGGAATTGAACCTGGGACTTTTCAGTCCGCAGGCCAACGCTCTATCCACAGCAGAACCGGTTTTGGCCTAAGCCACAAATTGGGTAGCTGTGCTTGTATCGTCCTAGCTGTCAAATTGTAAGCTCTGAAATCATGTCCTCTGACACAAACAATGGAAAATGACCTGTTGGTGTTTGTTCTCTTCTGCGCCCTGCTGCTGCTCCATCCCTCAGGAAACTCACAGGATCTACCGGCAGAAGTTGGAGGAGCTGACCTCGCTGCAGACTTTATGTAGCAGCTCCATCAGCAAGCACAGGACGCGCCTGAAGGACCTGAAGCGCACGCTCCAGAGGTAGGCGGGGCTGCGACTCAAAGCTCCCCTGGTTCTAAGGGTCAGAAACCCAGCTCAGCGCTGGCTTGGGTAGAGAATGGAAAAACATTTCAAATATATTTTCATTGATTTCAGAAAAGAGGGAGAGGGAGAGAGACACACACACACACACACACATCAGTGATGAGAGACGATCGTTGACAGGCTGCCTCCTGCACACTCCACACTGGGGATTGAGCCCACAACTGGGTCATGTGCCCTGACCAGGAATTGAACTGTGACCTCCTGGTTCATAGGTTGACGCTCAATCACTGAGCCATGCCAGCCGGGCCTAGAATGGAAAGTTTAATGGAAAAAAACCAGCAGGGGTCAAAGTTTGTTTTTAGGAATCTGTTTTTTCCCCTCTAAATTCTGCATTTCCCTAGATTGGCTTCACTCTATGGCTGGCCATCCTCTCATGGTCACTGAGATGGCCAACCCGCAGTGCCAGGCTTATACCCTGCAGCCTTTCTTCCTACTGGCTTGGGCACCCCAGCCTAAGGAGAATTGTCTTTCAGCACAAGTCCTGGGAGCCGTTCTCATTGGCTGGAATTGGTCACGTGCCCATCTTTGAACCAATCAAATCACCGAGACTAGTTAGGCAAGACTAGGTCATATGCTCAGTGTATGGACCTTGGGAATGGACAGCCCTACTTAAACCACATGGAGCGCGGGAAGAGGATGACAGGTAGTTCCCCAGAAGAAAACTGTTAAAGGAAGTCCTGCTGGGCAGGAAAATATTAACTACACTTCTCAGGCGCGTGGGGGCTCTCTCCACCGGGCTGTCTGATGTAGGGGGTAAGAGGTCTGGCATCCCTGGTGGAGATAAACTCGAGCTCATCACTTAGGTCAGTTCCTGAGGCCAGGATTACATGTTCAGTTTCCAGTCCTTGTGTCTTTCTGGTTTCGGAAGTGCTCCCATCCCCCGTAGGTGAACAGGACCAGTGAATCCTGTGACCCGCCCCCTCCGCCAAATAGGCCTTTGAGGCCCTGACTGGCTTGTCCCAGGTCACTTTCATGGGCTTTTGTTCCAGACTGTGTGGCTCTGGCTCACTTTTCCCCTTCCCTCATGGACAATTTTTGGGAAGGTTATTGATTATGCCAATGGTCAGCTATTTGGGAATAATCGATATTAAGTAATACCGGTTATTCCCAAATAGCTGACCATTTGGTAAACGGAGGCCCATTAGTCGTGGGGTAAAGTGTGAATGGTTTAATGCTGAGACATCGCCACTCTTGGAAAAACACATCTTACCGATGGCAGGACTTAAGTCTTCTAGATCTGTCGAGGGTTTTTCCGCCTGGGCACTGAGGATGGTTCTTCGCTGTCGGGGGCTGTCCTGTGCGTTGTGGAATGGTGAGCAGCGTTGCTGGCCTCTGCCCACAGATGCCGGTAACACCCTCCACTCTGTCTTGACGACCAAAAAGTTCCCAGACATCGAGAGCCACTGGGCAGAAGGTTGGCCCCTGAGTTAGGTTCTCACACTGAAGACAAGCCCTGCTCCCGGAGTGTCTGCGACATGTTTTTCTAGTCTTGAAAGACTTAACAATTAGACCTTGATTCGTTTACTCTTTATGCTGTTTTCTTTTTTTACTTTGTTTTTAGTGTTGACACGGTTACAGATGCCCCCATTGCCTGCCCCACCCTTTGTCCACCTCTACCCAGCTCCCGACTGCTTATATTTTTTATTTCTTATTTTTTATTTATTTTTAAAAAATATTTTTATTGCCGAAACTGGTTTGGTTCAGTGGTAGAGCGTCGGTCTGCGGACTGAAAGGTCCCGGGTTTGATTCCGGTCAAGGGCATGTATGTTGGTTGCGGGCACATCCCCGGTAGGGGGTGTGCAAGAGGCAGCTGGTCGGCGTTTCTCTCTCACCGACGTTTCTAGCTCTCTATCTCTCTCCCTTCCTCTCTGTAACAAATCAATAAAAATATATATTTTTAAAAATATATTTTTATTGACTTCAGAGAGGAAGGGAAAAGGAGAGAGAGTTAGAAACATCAATGATGAGAGAGAATCATTAATCGGCTGCCTCCTGCATGTGCCCCACTGGGGGTTGAGCCTAAAACTGGGCATGTGCCCTCACCGGGAATCGAACCGCGACCTCCTGATTCAACCCCTGAGTCATGCTGGCTGAGCTGCTTATTCTTTTAAAGTGCCATCCTGTCTCCCTCTTAGTAATCTTCAGCTTATTCCTACAGAATAGCGAGCAGAGCCCCAGTCCCTTCGTGTCCTAGCTTAGTTTGCAAAAGACATTGACATATAGTTCTTCTCTGCTGTAAGCTTTCCGTTTAGTCTACTCCCCAGGATTAAATCAAAGTCATTTGGAAAAAAAAAAAAAGAAGAGTGAGAGGAATAACATTGCTAGAAGTTTTCACTGTGCTAACTGCTTTAAATCGTACTTACTCATTTACTTGTCGCAGTGGCATTTCCAGAAGGTAGGCTCGATATTATTCCTATTTTTTTACAGAGAGGAAGGGAGATAGATAGAAAGCTAGAAACGTCGATGAGAGAGAAACATCGACCAGCTGCCTCCAGCACATCCCCTATCGGGGATGTGCCCGCAACCAACGTACATGCCCTTGACCGGAATCGAACCTGGGACCTTTCAGTCCGCAGACCGACGCTCTACCACTGAGCCAAACAGTTTTCGGCTATTCCTATTTTTTTAGATAAGGAAAATAAGGCAGAGGTTAAAAGACATTCCCAAGGTCACAGGGCTTAGCAGGGAGCCTGCATCAGTCCCAGGGAATGCAGGTGGAGACTGAGGTTGAGAGAAACATTGAGGAGGAAGAGTGGAGGGGAGTGGCCAGAGCTTCCAGGTTTCTTCCTCCGGGCCGGTAACCCCCTGCTTCTCCCATGCCCACACCTCTGACCGCAGGTACAAGCGCCGTGCCAGTGTGGCCGAGGCGGAGCTGGTCCAGCAGTTAGATGTCACCATCAAGGAGCGGCAGAACATCTTCTTTGACATGGAGGCCTACCTGCCCAAGAAGAACGGGTAGGAGCTGGGAACTCCCCCCCTCCCCCCCACTCCCCAGCACCCAGGCCTAGGACACCTGGTCTGCATCATTCTCACCTTCCCGTGAGGGCTTGAGGTTGCAGTGGGGGCAGGAAAGAGAAGGAGGCTTCCTCCATGAACACTGAGGTCAGGTACTGACTGGGAGGGGCCGGGAGGGAGCCTTCTGGGGCTCGAAGTGTTTTTTTCTTTGAGCTGTGTGTTGGTTGCAGGGATGCATAAATATGTAAAAATCCATCATGTTGTATGCTTAAGACTTGTGCACTTTTTTTTTTAAAAAAATTGAGTTTTAGAGAGAGGGAGGAAGAGAGAGGGGAAAAGAAGCACCAATTTGCTGTTCCACTTATTTATACATTCATTGGTTGATTCTTTTTACTTTATTTTTTTTATTGATTTTTTACAGAGAGGAAGGGAAAGAGATAGAGAGCTAGAAACATTGATGAGAGAGAAACATCAACCAGCTGCCTCCTGCACACCTCCCACCAGGGATGTGCCCGCAACCACGGTACATGCCCTTGACTGGAATTGAACCTGGGACCCTCCAGTCCGCAGGTCGATGCTCTATCCACTGAGCCAAACCGGTTTTGACTCATTGGTTGATTCTTATAAAAAATATGCCCTGATGGGTTTTGAACCTGCACCTATGGTATCTCTGGTCAATGCTCTAACCCAGTGGTCAGCAAACGGTGGTTCAAGAGCCACATATGGCTCTTTGACCCCTTGAGTGTGGCTCTTCCACAAAATACCACATGTGGGCATGCACATACAGTGCGATTGAAACTTTGTGGCCCATGCACAGAAGTCAGTTTTTAGCCTGGGCGAGTCTATTTTTGAAGAAGTGGTTCTATCGTCTAGCCACACTCAAGGCGCCAAAGAGCCGCATGTGGCTCATGAGCCGTGGTTTGCCGACCACTGCTCTAACCAATGGAGCTACTCAGCCAGAGCAAGACTGATGTACTTTTGAAGGTTATGCCTTAATTTTAAAAAGAGTCTGCTTTAAATTGACCTAGCTATTATACATATACCTTCACCTCATTGGCTGGAGCTCAGTCACATGCTCACATTAGTTGCAAGGGAAGCTGGGAAATATGAGGGTCAGTCATGACTGTCATGTGTCACAGTCCCCCTCCCCCCCGTTCTCTAGTTAATCATTATTCGCGCTCAAAGTGAGGCCCACTGTGCTGCTGAGTTTAGCACCGTATGTTCTGTGCTGGCTTTTCAACGCGTGCCCGTTACGTTGGAGTATTTTTGGTTGGGGCTGCACCCAGGGCTTTTAGGGGACATGGCGACTTCACAGGTCTCTCCTTCCAGGCTCTACTTGAATCTGGTCCTCGGCAACGTAAGCGTGACCCTCCTCAGCAACCAGGCCAAGTAAGTGTCCCCGACACCCAGCTGGCTTTGCAGAAAACCCAGGCATCGTGCTTTCAGTTCGGAAGCGATGGGACCAGGCTGGGTTTTTGCAAAAAGGAAAAACCGTTAATAGGTGGTGCTCTGGCTCCTGGTCTCTCTGACTGATCCCCTGGGAAAGGCTTCCTTCATGGGTCCCATATGTCGGGCAGACAGGACTGCCAGTTTCCCATGAGAAACGGCTCTGCTCCATTTCACGTCTCGTCAGACCCTTTTCTCCTGGGAAGCAGATGGTTGTGTCCAGCCACAGGCTATCAAGTTTCTAGGGGGGCGGAGCCGAGGCATTTTGGAGGGGAGGGGACCTTGTCTGGTTCCCTAACTGACGCCACCATTCATTTAAGGTCCAGTCTCTCCTTTAGTGGGATCAGAAGGTCCTGACGAGATGTGGTTGGCAGTGTGTCAAGGATCCAATGGGGCAAGGGTCCTGCCCCCAATGGAATGTAGTCATGCTACCATCCATGTCATGATAGTCACGTGACCTCTCCCGGGCATGTCTGTCGCCATAGATTTGCCTACAAGGACGAGTATGAGAAGTTCAAGCTCTACCTGACCATCATCTTGCTCCTGGGGGCTGTGGCCTGCCAGTTCGTCCTTCACTACAGGTAACGCAGCGTGGCGCTGGGGGACACGCCGGGGTGAGAGGGGACCTGAGAGAGGGACCCAGGGTCCCTCCTGCATCCACAGTGTTGGTGTGATGAGGTGTCGATAGAGAAGGGCCATTTTTTTTTTCTTTTTCTTTTTTTAATATATTTTATTGATTTTTTTACAGAGAGGAAGGGAGAGAGAGAGTGAGTTAGAAACATCGATGAGAGAGAATCATCGGTCAGCTGTTTCTTGCACACCCCTTACTGGGGTACATGCCCTTGACTGGAATCGAACCCGGGACCTCTGTCCGCAGGCAGAAGCTCTATCACTGAGCCAAACTGGTTTCGGCAAGAAGGGCCATTTCTCATGAGAAATAGCAGTCCTGTTCTCCGTAGTCCCTCCAATAACATCTCCTAACGGGCTGCTGGAGAGGCCTTGGTGTGCAGTCAGGAAAAAGCCCCGTTTGGCCATGTTCGCACAACGGAATAGCGTTTGGCCGTGAAAGGAAATGAGGTTCTGACCCAGGCTATAGCACAGATGAACCTGGAAACCATTACAGGGCGAGGCAAACGTGGGTGTACAGTTGTGAGCATGTGAAACACAGAGTTTATTCTTGTGTTGTTATTTATTAATGATTTATTAGTGATTTTCCATAAGAAAACCGTAAACCTCCATTTGTATGTTAAGGGAAAGAAGCTGGTCACAAAAGGTCACACATAGTGTATGATTCCATCTGTGTGAAGTGTTGAGAACAGGTAAATCCATAGAAACTGAGCTAGATTAGTGGATGCCAGGTATTGGCGGGGGAAAGGGGATTGGGAAGGGACTGCAGATAAGCATGGATTTCTTTGGGAGTGACGAGAATGTTCTGGAATTAGGTAGTAGTGATGGGTGTACAACGTTGTGAATACACACAAAAAAAAACACCAAATGTATGCTTTAGAAGGGTGAATTTTATAGTATGCGAATTATATCTCAATTGCAAAAAGAGAGAGGAAGGGAACAAAAAGAAAGGAAAGAGCCGAAACCGTTTTGGCTCAGTGGTAGAGCGTCGGTCTGTGGACTGAAGGGTCCCTGGTTTGATTCCGGTCGGGGGCGTGTACCTTGGTTGCAGGCACATCCCCGGTAGGGGGTGTGCAGGAGGCAGCTGGTCATTGTTTCTCTCTCATCGACGACGTTTCTAACTCTCTATCTCTCTCCCTTCTTCTCTGTAAAAAAAATCAATAAAATATATTTTTTTAAAAAAAGAAAGGAAAAGAAGAGAGGGAGTAGATCACAGAGAACCTTGGTTTGCTCGTGGCTTTGAACCTAACTGGCTGTTCCCACAGGCAGGTTCCCTCTGGGGGCCTCCATCTCTCCGTCTGTACATGGAGGGTGACCCCAGTGCCGACCCCACAGGGTTCTTGCGGGTGAACACGGTACATGGAGGGCTCGGTCCAGCACGTGACCCCGAGCAGTGTATGGAGGACAAGGCCAGGGGCTGAAGCCACACCGCCCTGGGGGTTTCAGGTCTCCGCGTGGCCTGGGTTTCTGCCCCGGGGGAGGCGGGCAGCCAAGCACGTTATTTTCTCATATTTGGCCCAGGTGTCCAGGGTTTATTTCCTAGCAGACGCTTGGCTGGGAGTCCATTTGCTCGTCTGGCCACTTGAACGTCCAAAACAAAGGCCCATTTAGGCCCTGGCGCCGCGCCTGCCCGCTGCCCGGGCCTGGCCCGTTTCCTTGGAGGGCAAAGGCTGCACCCTCCGTAGCGCCAGCTCACATGCCCCCCTGGAAGGGGGTGAAAGTTCTCCGTGAGCCGCCAGATTCCTGTTCTGGGACCTCTGGCCTCCGAGGGCAGACCTGCGGTGTGCAGTGCGGTTAGTTCCAAGGCTCACCGAGGCCTGGATGTTCCCGCCGCTCCCCACCCCCTTTCTGTCGTCCTCTCCGAGGGATGTCGTAACAAGCACCACAAGCTGGTGCCTCGGAACAACAGACACGGATATTCTCCCATCTGGAGGCCTGAGGTGTGGGCGGGACCGGGCTCCCCCTGCAGGCGGAGTGCTTCCTTGCTTTCCCAGCTCCTGGTGGTCGCCGGCCACCTCTGGCGTTCCGTTTCGTGGCTTAAAGCTGTTTCCACTCCGTTCTCTGCCTCTTGTGCCTCAGTCTTGCCACGTGGCCTCCTTCCGCGTGTTTTTCTGAGTCTCTCTCGTGACCTTCTTAGGAGAGTACCAGTGGTTGGATGTAGGGCCCACCCTGATCCAGCGTGACCATCTCTGAACTCATTACATTTACAAGGACCCTGTTTCCGAATAAGGCCATACTCTGATGTCCTGATGCTTACCTTTTGATGAATAACTTAACCTCGCCTTGCCTTGGTTTCTTCACAGAAAGTGTGGATAACAGGCTTGGCTGGCATGGCTCAGTGGCTGAGCATCGACCTGTGAACCAGGAGGTCACGGTTTGATTCCCGGTCAGGACATGTGCCCAGGTTGCAGGCTGGATCCCCAGTGTGTGATGCATGCAGGAGGCAGCTAATCAATCATTGATGTTTCTATCTCTCTCTCCCTCTCCCTTCCTCTCTGAAATCAATAAAAATATTTTTTTAAATGTATTTTATTGATTTTTTACAGAGAGGAAGGGAGAGGGATAGAGAGCTAGAAACGTCGATGAGAGAGAAACATCGACCAGCTGCCTCTTGCACGCCCCCTACCAGGGATGTGCCCGCAAGCAAGTCACATGCCCTTGACCGGAATTGAACCTTTGAGTCCGCAGACCGACGGTCTACCACTGAGCCAGACCGGTCTCGGCTCTTTTTCTTCTTTTAAAAATTATTTTTATTGGCCAAAACCGGTTTGGCTCAGTGGATAGAGCGTCGGTCTGTGGACTGGAAGGTCCCAGGTTCAGTTCCGATCAAGGGCATGTACATTGGTTGCGGGCACATCCCCGGTGAGAGGTGTGCAGGAGGCAGCTGGTCGATGTTTCTCTCTCATCGACGTTTCTAACTCTCTCTCCCTCTCCCTTCCTCTCTGTAAAAAATTCATAAAATATATATTTTAAAAAAAAGAAGAAGAAGAAGAAGAAAAAGAGCCCTTACTGGTTTGGCTCAGTGGCTAGAGCGTTGACCTATGCACTGAAGGGTCCCAGGTTCGTTTCTGGTCAAGGGCATGTACCTTGGTTGCGGGCACATCCCCAGTATGTGCAGGAGGCAGCTGATGGATGTTTCTCTTTCATCGATGTTTCTAACTCTCTTTCTCCTTTCCTATCTGTAAAAAAATCAATAAAATAATATTTTTTTAAAAGTGAGGAAAACGGGAGCTCCCTGGCAGCAGGGAAGTGAGGAATGGACAAGGTACACCTATACATTCAGATGTAACCTGGCACACAAGCAGGCCTTATCGCCACCGCTATTTCCCGCTACGCTGGGCAGGCAGGGGAAAGATCACAGCTCAGAATCCTGAGCATCCTGGGAGCAGGACTTTCTTTCCTTCCTTTGCCCCCTTCAGATCACTTCCTTGCTGGGTGCCCCACCCACAGGCCCTTCTGTGGAAGGGAGACAGGTTGTCGTGGGCTGGGTGATCAGGGCGGGAGAGAGACCTCAGCTAGAGCCTTCAGGGCAGGTAGGAATCAGGTGGGAAGATGAATAGGGGGGATGAGCATTCTAGGGGAAGAGACACCTCAGAGGCAGACTCCCTGTGCCTTCCCCTGGGTACCGGGGGGTTCCGGAGGCACCCTGTGTGAGCAGCCCTGGGCCTGCTTCTCTGTTCCGTTGCAGTGGGGCTGGGACAGCCGTCCGTGGTTCTCACGCTTGCTCCCCTCGGGGGCTGTTTCTCCACACAGGGTCACGGACGAAATCTTTAACTTCCTGCTCGTGTGGTATTACTGCACCCTGACGATTCGGGAGAGCATTCTCATCAGCAACGGCTCAAGGTAATTGGGGGCCTGGCTTTATGGGGGGCGTAGGGGCAGCCAGAGGGAACTCTGTCATGGAGGGGAGGCAGGGAGGGCTGTTACCCTCAGCGGCCTTCCCTTCCTCCTTGGGAATCGCCGACATTTCAGACCCATGGAGGAGCAAAACCGTGCCTGCCACTGCTGCGGCCTCACCCGCCATGGTCAGTCTCTGGTTTACAAGAAACCCCAACTCAGTATAACAGGACATTATTTTCTCATATTAAGAAACAGGCCCTTGCCGAATCCGGTTTGGCTCCGTGGATAGAGCGTTGGCCTGCGGACTGAAAGGTCCCAGGTTCGATTCCTGTCAAGGGCATGTACCTTAATTGCGGTCACATCCCCAGTGGGGGTGTGCAGGAGGCAGCTGATCGATGTTTCTCTCTACCCTCTCTCTTCCTCTCTGTGAAAAATCAATAAAATATATATTTAAAAAAAAAAAAATAGGGCCTTAGGGGCTGACTACAGGTAAGGCTTAATCCAGGTGCTCAGTGTCATCAGGACCCACTTTCTCTCTGTTTCTCACCTCTGCCTTCTTGTGTTGTCTATTCTCAGGTACTGGGTAGAGTTATCAGTTCCAAGCTCATGTCTTTATTTTTAGCATTCTCAGCAAAATAGGGCACATTCCTCTCTTGCAAGGTGTCTCACTGGGTCCTCTCGGCGTACATTAGATCATGTGCCCATCTCTGAACCAATCGCTGTAGCCAGAGAATGCGGCGCTTCTGTGATTGGCTGGGCTCGAGCCTCCTGCCCACCCCTCTAGCTGTCACTGGAAACCTAGAAGCTGAGCGTCAGGAGGGACTGGTTCCCCACAGGAAAACTGGGATGAGCTCACTAAATGAGTGGGTTCTGGTGTCAGGGGTGATGGTCCCCGTAGGGAGAGGCGTCTCAGGACTCAGTTGAGATCCATGGCTTGCCTTCCGCCTTCAGGACCTACTTTCCATCGTTCTGACTCCTTTTTGGGGTGGCCATGTGATCCTCTGCACACCATTCTTGTCCCTATCGTTTCTCAAAACACAAAGGAGCAACTTTCCACACCCTCCCCCCTCCCTCCCTCCAGGGGCTCTGACGCACAGCCAGGAGTGGGTATTTAACTCGGGGCACCTGCCAAACCCTCAAGTCATTTGCCACCTTCTCACTTTTCTGCCCAGTGGTCTCTCAGCAGGGCTTCCCCCGAGCAGAGAGCCACGAGGTAAGGACAGGAACGGCGGTTCCTCAGTACCCAGCCCTGTAGCATGTAGCCTGTTAGAAACATCAGTGTTTCTCAAACTGCACTCGTTCCTGCCCCATCCACGCCATGTTTGCCATGTCTTTGTATCGTCTAGAATCTAGGTCCTAGAACCTAGATGACCATTTTCCCACGTTTTATTTTTTATTACATTTTTGAATTTTTTTTTTAAATTGCTTTTTAAAGAGAGAGGAAGGGAGAGGGAGAGAGAGAAACAACAATTTGAGAGTGAGACATTCATCAGCTGCCTCCTGCACGAGCCCATAAGCCAGGCATGTGCCCCGACCAGGAATCGAACCTGCAGCCTTTCTGTGCGATAGACGACGCCCAACCAACTGAACCACGCCGGTCAGGGCATCATTTTTCCCACATTCTAAATCAGCCGTCTCTCCGTTTTGGTTTTGTTTTTCCTTAAATAAATATTTGTTTTAAAAGGAAACTTTATTCCACCACTTTACATGGAAAACCAGCATCAATTACAGGAAAGAGGAAGTAGTATAAAAATATCTTTTTGTTTTCATTGTCTAATTGATTGAAGGCTCTGGGCCTGAGGCCTGTGGTCTCTCTTATGTGTGTGTGTTCATGTGTAGAAAGGGAGACGAACAGATCTTGAGACGCATTAAAGATTACGAGCATCTAACCGAGACCATCTCCTCGACTTCATCAGGAGAAGGGAAAGAGATATCACTCAGTATCATCTAGCGCAGTGGTTCTCAACCTTCCTAATGCCACGACCCTTTAATACAGTTCCTCATGTTGTGGTGACCCCCGACCATAAAATGTTAGGCTCTACAGCATCAGTTCTCAACCTGTGGGATGCAACACACAGGTTGAGAACCACTAGCAGGGTCACCTAAGACCATCGGAAAACACAGATATTACAACTCATAACAGTATCAAAATGACAGTTATGAAGTAGCGACGAAAATAATGTTATGGCTGGGGGTCCCCACAGCATGAAGAACTGTGTTAAAAGGCCGAGGCATTGGAAAGGTTGAGAACCACTGACTAGTGCAGGCGTGAGTTTGACATGCTCGATCTAGTGTTACACTCAGATGTCATCTAAAACTCAATGATACACCCCCCTGTGCTTTGGGAAACACTGAAGTAGAAAATCTTACCCACTAAGTGACATTCGTAGTTTGCCTTAATGTTAGTGAAGAGTAGCTTTCTGCTTTTAGGTCTGTTGGAGGGGAGCCAGAGGAGCATGTAGGGGGGAAATGGCCCAGGATATTCGGCAGGGCTTCCTGGTAACTAATTACCCTCCTGTACTGCGGACTAGCTGTCAGGCTTGGAGTCTCACCTAGTAAGAGTGTTCGGGGCATGCTGTGTCTCTGATGGTCACTAACACTGTAGTAAGTTACTCTGGTCAGCTCTTTTTCTAGCGGGATAAGCCGTGGGTGGGAGCAGGACTGAGGGGAGGTCCCTGCAAGCGTGGGGCACACCAGGAGAATAGGAGGGGACAAAAGGAGGAAGTGAGGTTCCGTAGCCAAGCCTAAATGTTTGCCTGACGCGTTTAGCTGGGGCTTTTCCAGGGCTTCTCTGGACCGCATGCTTCGATGGGACAGTAGGACGTGTTGTCGCTGAGCTTGTAATGCATAGCTTTGCGTGTGGGTCCACTCTGCCCCCTCACGCTTGGTCCCCTTACCAGGGAATAGCTACGAAACCCGTAGCTAAGAGAGCACAGTGAGGAGGAGGTGGGGTGAGCTCTACCTCTCTCACCTCTGAAGCATCCCAGAGTCAGCTCGGGCGCTCAGCGTCGCTGCCCCATCAATGCCCCATGGTCTTTGTGGAAATGCATTCCACCCCAGCTCTGTGATGAGGCAGGGCCCTGGGGGCCTTACCGTGTTCTTAGGACAGGTGGAGCTGGGCCATACGGGCTTCCTGGAGACGTGGTGTCCGGTTTTGGTGTGACTGAGCCTCTGACATCCTGTTCCCCATGGCACTTGAGTCCTGAGTTAGAGGCATGGTCAGGGAAGCAAGCCAAGAGAGGTGGGGGAATCCCCTATCATGGGATGGAGCCACCCTTGCTTTGTGTCTGATGCCTCCCAAGTGAGAAGTAACTCATTAGCTGAGTTAGTGCAATAAGCAGGTCAGCTTCCCTTGCAGATTTGCAAATGATCGAAAACCACCTGATAGGATAAACATGAAGGGGATTTATGGGAGCATACAAATAGTTCAAGGAGGTAAAAAGGGTTCAATGTTAACAGTCCCTCCTCTTTTTCCTTAGTCTGTAGTCCCCTGCACTGGTTCCCAGCAGTGAGGTCAGCATCCTATTGGATCCGCAACCCCAGAGTTCCTTTCCTCTGCAGATCTAGCTGTAATCTTGAGACAGACTTCTGATTGGCTAGGCTCAGGTCACATGCTCATCCCTAAGCCAATCACTGTGGCTTGGGGGGTGCAGGGCCCTGATTGACTGGCTCTGGGTCACGTGCCCAGTTATATTCCTCAGCTGCACTCAAGCATCCAGGCTGGAAGTGGCGGTGAGTTGGTTTCCTGAAAGAAAGCTGAAGCCTGGCACCGGAATGGGGGTGACTGACAGACAGGCAAAACAGCAGATGCCTCCTGCAGTTAGTTCTGGGCCAGAACACCATGAATCAGGGGTCGTATTCATTCTTCTGGCGAGCCAGCCCTTGGGCACCTGGCTCTAACAAGCTTTTAAGGCATAGTAGCTGGCAAGGGAGGGGTCCTCAATGTAGAAGCCATTCCACAAACTGCCCAGATGACAGAAACGGCCTGCCGGTGAAGAGTGGCTGGTACAGCATCCTCTGCACACACACACACACACACACACACACACACAGATGTGGCCAAGGTGTCCTACCGGGGGCTGTGGCCTTCCTGGGCACAGTCCGCAGACACCAGGACTTGGAGTCCCTGCGTCCCGGCTTCCTGGGGCATCCGCCAGCCCTCAAGCATCCTTTCTGTCCAAATCGGCTCAGATAGTGACAGCTACTGGTGCAGGTTTCTTTCTGGGGTGACAAGCGTGTCCCAAAACTGATTGTGGACAGTAGCACACCCTGCGAATCTATATCTTATTTTTAAAATATAGTTTTATTGATTTCAGAGAGGAAGGGAGAAGGGGGGGAGAGAGAGAGAGAGAGACAGAAACATCAATGATGAGAGAGAATCATTGACCAGCTACCTTCTGCACACACCTTACTTGGAATCGAGCCAGCAACCCCAAGCATGTGTCCTTGGCCGGAATTGAACCCGAGACCCTTCAGTCCACAGGCCGACGCTCTATCCACTGAGCCAAATCAGTCAGGACTTCAAATCTATATTTTAAATGGGTGCATTGTATGGGTATGAACGGTGTCATAGTGAAAGTGTTCTGTAAACGCACAGGGGCACAAAACCTGCCCAGAGCTCTGGGCTGTGTGGGTGGACAATGGGGCCGGGGGAGAAGCGACTTCTAGCCTCTCCCGGTGCCGCCGAGTGGCAGCTGTCAGCGCTGGGCTGTGGGCGGTGAAATGAAAAGGCTGTGACATGAAAAGCTGCTGCTCACACAGCTTCTTGCCCAGAGCCTGCGTCTGCTCAGGCCACTCCCAGGTGGAGAGACGGCATTTCTCCGGAGAGTGCGGAGAGTGGGACAAAGGAGCACGGGGCCTGCCAGGACCCAAGGACCTGTGTGTGGCTGGGCAGAGAGCTGGGAAGGTTCCAGAGAGGCTCCCTGGGTGCTCTTCAAGCTAAAGGTCTGAGGGTGTGGCCAACCGCCTTTCCTATCAGAAAACCCGTGCCCGGGGCCTCCTGGACTCTGACAGGCAAGGCAGGGACACGAAGAGGGAGAGGCGGGACTGAGACGTGAATGGACATCTTGTCCCAGGAACTCGCGTGGCTCCTGCAGCCATCTCCTGTCCCCTCTGTGCTGGCGGCATCCAGACCAGCTGTGGCTTTCCCCAGCTGCACCTTCTGGGCGTCACTTCATGCATTTCAACATTTATTTGGTTCCTACTGTTTACCTAGCGCTGTTCATGCCAGGAATAAAGGAAAAAGTCTTGTCCTTCACCATAACTAACCTTTGAGGGACCCACAGGCCATCGTCTGAACACCCGATTTGCACCCAGAACTATGATGGGGCTGCAAAGAGAAGAAAGAGTGAGGAAGAGCCAGTCCCTGCTCTTACGTCTACATTCTGGTCGGGAGGTTTTAAGGCCACTTCAACCCCTGTTAGGACAATGCAAAAGGAAATCTCAATGGCACACCGACTTTTACCTAATAAGTCGGGCAGGCATTTTAAAGTTTGGCTTCAGGCGTTGGTGAGGGTGTGCCATCACACCAGGGGCTTCCGTGGGGCGTCTTGGCAGCACTGAGGCTGGCAGTGACCGCCGAGGAACAGCCACACGGACTGTGGCAGACCCACAGCCTGAATAGCCGTGTGGCGCTTACGAAGCCAGTGACAGGGCTGTAGGTGCCAGCTTGGGATCCAGAGGAGAAAGCCAGGCGCAGGATGATTTAGTTAAAAAGAAAGTCTAGCCGAAACCGGTTTGGCTCAGTGGACTGAAAAGTTGGTCTGCGGACTGAAGGGTCCCAGGTTTGATTCCAGTCAAGGGCATGTACCTTGGTTGCGAGCACACCCCCACACAGGCGGGGAGCTGGGAGGGGCCTGCGTTTCTCTCCCCGCCTGAGCGTCCCCTTCTCTCGTTCTCTCCGAGGATTAAAGGCTGGTGGGTGTCGCACCACTACGTGTCCACCTTCCTGTCCGGAGTGATGCTGACCTGGTGAGTGTCCCTGCCCTCCCCCCACACCGCCGCTGGCCCTCCCTGGGATGTGGGGGGCTGTGGAGGGGACTAGTGGTAGGTGAGGGGCCCAGCTGGCTTCCCAAGGCCCTGGCCTCGGCTGACTTGACTTCAGGGCCAAGAAGGAGAGTGTGAGCTTACAGCGGAGGGAGCCCTCGGGAGTTTTCCTGGTAACGTACCCTTTGCCTGCCAGCTGGGGCAGAGGGGAGGGGGGCAGGGCTGGGGCAGAGGGGACGGGGACAGGGCTGGAGCAGAGGGGACAGGGACAGGGCTGGGGCAGAGGGGACAGGGGTGAGGCTGGAGCAGAGGGGACAGGGGTGAGGCTGGAGCAGAGGGGACGGGGACAGGACTGGGGCAGAGGGGACGGGGTGAGGCTGGGGCAGAGGGGATGGGGGTAAGGCTGGGGCAGAGGGGATGGGGACAGGGCTAGGGCAGAGGGGATGGGGACAGGGCTGGGGCAGAGGGGACAGGGTGAGGCTGGGGCAGAGGGGACGGGGGTAAGGCTGGGGCAGAGGGGACAGGGTTAAGGCTGGGGCAGAAGGGACGGGGGGACAGGGCTGGGGCAGAGGGGACAGAGGCGAGGCTGGGTGGACGAGGCTGTGGCTCTGAGGAGTGGGGCCAGGAGAGGGGAGACCTGTAGGAACTTGGGCTTCAAAACCACACTCGACCCCCAGGGACACGGTGGCAGGAAGCGTAGACAGTGGGGTTTGGGTTTAAATGTAAAACCTTCTCTCCCGGCGGGAACACGATGGGCGGGTGGACGTCTGATTTCCCAGCGCCCTCACCTCCTCCCCCTCCTCTCTGCAGGCCTAACGGACTGATCTACCAGAAGTTCCGCAGTCAGTTTTTAGCGTTTTCCATATTTCAGAGTGAGTGTCTCCTGCCTGCATTCGGGGGAGGGGGCAGGGTCCCTGCGGGTTCCCTGTGGAGGCCCCGTCCGGGAGGGCTGTGTCTTTCCTGGAGGGGGGCGGGCACTGGGGAAGTCCCTGGAAGTCTAAGGAGCTACCTGCCCCGGGTCAGCTCCATCCTGCCCTCCAACCCCGCCTCTAGGGACCACCTGCCCCACTGCCCCCTGGAGCCCGTCACTGCCTCCCTTCCCCCGGCCAGTCGCCACCTCTGAGAACCCGCTGGGCTTTCCTTAAAACGGAGACATATAATAGTTCTTTTTTCTCACTTAAGAACAGCCCTGGTTCACATACGATGCACCGACCCAGGGGTCGGGGAGCTTGGATGGTTGGCGACAGGGAGAGCGAGTCTCACTTTTCACCGTAGGCCTGTTTGTTCCTGTCCAGTTTTATGCCCTGTGCCTAGTGCCAGCTCAGAAAAAACACAGCTTAATTTTTAAATAAAACCCTGCTTACCAACAAATACAAAAAAAAAAAAAAAAAAAAAAGCTGAGAATGAACACCAGGTCCAGTACCGCCCCCAGGGGCGACCCCTGGTGATAGGTCTGTGTCCTTTCTACCACGTTTACCCACACGGACGTATGTGCATATGTCCTGCATCACGGATAGCCCACAGACACGGCTCCCTCTGTGCATACAGCTTTGCATAGAACCTGGGAGACAGTTACCATGGGCTTTTTCCCCGCCTCCTCCGTACAAGCATCCCAGTGTACGGAGCTGTCTCTTGCCGACCTGGCGTCGCACACAGCTCCCAGCCCAGTGCGAGCCTCTTTTGAGTGCCCAAGGCACGCCTAGGAAAGCTCTGGAAGTTTCTATGGGAGAGGGGGGGAGGGGTGTGGGCGGGAGAAGGTTGGACACTCCGGGCCCTGAAGACCCACCCCTTTGCTGTGGAAGTGTCACTCCGTCCTCCGCGCGCTGTGCTCCCCCTACAGGCTGCGTCCAGTTCCTGCAATATTACTACCAGAGGGGCTGCCTCTACCGGCTGCGGGCGCTGGGGGAGAGGAACCACTTGGACCTCACTGTGGGTGCGTAGCCGGCCCCGGGGGCTGGGGGACAAGTGCTGGGCCCTGCCTGCTCCCCCAGATCTGACCCTCATCCCCCTCACTGGGAGCACGTGCCGGTGAGGGCATCACACCCCTCCCACACGTGCAGCCAGGGCTGCCGGCCTCTGCCCACGCTGCTTTTCATAATGGCCGTGGATTCTGCTTCAGTGACATACGTGTGAGACCAGCCGTGTGCCCTCAGCGCTGGCGACTCTCTTTGCCTCTTTTTTTTTTTTTTTTTAAATCAATCTTTATTGTTCATATTATTACAAAGGTTCCTCATTTCTTCCCCCCTCCACCAGGTTCCCACCCCACCCTCCGCCCCCTCCCCATCCCCCATTGTCCTCATCCATAGGTGCAGTTTATGTTCAGTCTCTTCTTCCCTCCCTTTCCCCGATAGTAAATCCCTTTTCAGATAGTAAATCAGTTACTTAGCATTTTCTCATATCAATAATACCTCCACATGCCCAATGATACACTCCACACAAAAGACATTTCCCACTAGGTCCACCAG